CCCCCCCCCAACACCCATTCATTCTCTCTCTCCCCTCTCTCTCCTACTCTTTCTTTCTCAGCAGTGTCTCCCTAGATACTCCTCTTTATGTGACACCTTAGCTGTTACGAGGAGTTATGTAAACAAACAAACAAAAGACAGAAGAATTAAAGACAGCATTATTATTTCCGTTCTGATATTCTCGTCTTAATGGAGTATGCAACATGAAAACCTCCATTGAACTTTATCAGCAGTGACTGGTCGTATTTCCAGACATTCCTGACAGTTGTTCAGTCTGACGGTATGTCCGATCTGGACCTCCGTACATGTACCTCAGCTGATCAGTCTGATGGTACAGTTTATGTCCGGTTGGACCCTGAACCCAGCTGACCAGTCTGACGGTATGTCCGGTCTGGACCTCGGTACCTCAGCTGATCAGTGTGATGGTACAGTTTATGTCCGGTCTGAACCTCCGCACTTCATATGACCAGGCTGACGGTATGTCCGGTCTGGACCTCGGTACCTCAGCTGATCAGTGTGACGGTACAGTTTATGTCCGGTCTGGACCTCCGCACTTCATATGACCAGTCTGACGGTATGTCCGGTCTGGACCTCCGTACCTCAGCTAACTAGTCTGACGGTATGTCCGGTCTGGACCTCCATTCCTCAGCTGACCAATCTGACAGTATGTCCGGTCTGGACCTTCGTACTTCAGCTGACCAGTCTGATGGTATATTCGATCTGGACCTCCTTACCTCAGCTGACCAGTCTGATGGTACAGTTTATGTCCGGTCTGGACCTCCGTACCTCAGCTTACCAGTCTGACGGTATGTCCGGGTTCTGGACATCCGTACCTCTGCTGACCAATCTGACGGTATGTCCGGTCTGGACCTCCGTACCTCAGCTTACCAGTCTGACAGTATGTCCGGTCTGGACCTCCGTACCTCACCTGACCAGTCTGACGGTATGTCCGGTCTGGACCTCCGTACCTCAGCTGGCCAATCTGACAGTATGTTCGTTTGGATCTCCGTACCTCAGCTTACCAGTCTGACAGTATGTCCGGTCTGGACCTCCGTACCTCAGCTGACCAGTCTGACGGTATGTCCGGTCTGGACCTCCGTACCTCAGCTTACCAGTCTGACGGTATGTCCGGGGTCTGGACCTCCGTACCTCAGCTGACCAATCTGACGGTATGTCCGGTCTGGACTTCCGTACCTCACCTGACCAGTCTGACGGTATGTCCGGTCTGGACCTCCGTACTTAGCTTACCAGTCTGACAGTATGTCCGGTCTGGACCTCCGTACCTTACACATGTACTCGCTTATATCTGTACAATCTTATATATAGCTGTGTGCTACGCTCGACTGTCTATATCTGTGGGAGTTTACAATTGAGGATAATTAACTGACTAATCTTTATTTAACACATTAATGGGTGACTGTATTCACCGTCATTGAATTAGAAAAAAATGGCCGCTGATTTGATTGTCTTGTTTTGTTCGTCACAATGCTGCCCATCGATCTGAATCAACGACGACCATTTAAGAATTGCGATATTTCTACACCATTTAAGTTTTTTTATTAACTCCGCGCTCGTGGATCGTCTGTCGGTCATCGCTAACCAGGTGACACACAGATAGCTTACGATACACAAAACAAAGAGATACAAGATTTGTGGGTTGATTCTCATTAGCACCAGCGTAATAGTTAATAGTCATGCAATTAATTAGTTATGTGCTTATAGAAATATTATAAATATGGTTATAGTTATGAATATTTCTGTACGAGGTGTTAGATCGGCGAGGTGTCAGACATCGACTTGTATGACACAGACTAATATTCTTGTGTCAGTAGTACGTAAATCAATTGTTTCTTTTGTGCTAATTAAAAATGTATGATATACAATTATTGACGTCAGATGAAGATGATACAATGATTTAACAACAGTCGAAGCACAACACGCAAAGGGGACAGACATCTTTAATGTAAACTGTATGAATCATTGAATAAGACACATTCCTTATTATACTAAACAACACGTATGGAACAATGGGGTCTTAATGTGGGAGAAAACCGAAGCACCAGGAAAAAAACACCACGTGGTCGGGCATGTCACATCATACCTTTTCACGTCCGATCGGGGGAATCGAACCCCGTCCGCATGCGCCACCCGACCACCCAATGCACATATCTGTATTTTGGGGTATTCAAGCTACTTAGTTAACGGAAGTATCCTGGCCGAAATGTGCTACAGTAATATCCTAACGGAAGTTAAGGGGGTGGGAGTGAAGGGGGGTGGG